GCTCTTACCACTAGCCCCACTCCCTTCCCAGAGCCAGAGACAGAACCCAGGAGTCCTGGCTCCCAGCCTGATATCTTGAGCTGGGATACGCCCCCCCATCTCTCCCCCAGTTCTGGTTCATGTAGCCATGTCCCTGGCCTGGGTCTGGGAAGGATGGGTGATGCCAGCGGTGCCAGGGCACCATCTACTGGTGAAAGCTGCAAACTGCTGCTCTGTGCTCCCCCTGGGGATGGGTGGTGAGTGCCTCATCACCCCCGCGGGGCACTGGCCCACCTTCTCCAACAGGGTCCCACGAGCTTGGGGACCCCCCGTCTGGGGGAGCTCCTCCCAGCCGGCCCCGAACCTCTCGCCTCTCTCGGACTAGCTCGGCGCTGCTCTCCCAGCCTGGATCAGCCGGGAAATCCACCACTTCTCCAGGAAGTTTGTTCCCATCCCCAGGCCCGGGGCCAACCCCCGAGCTTATTAGCGTTAGGCCCAAAGCTGACTGCGAAGAGCTACAAGGGGATCGCCTCAAACCAGGCCACACAACGGCGGATTAAACTCAAGGTTCGGAAGAGCAACATCGAAATAATTCAAGGGGGTCAATATTAGCCGCTGCCGCCACTCGTGAACACTATCCTGGCCTCCCTGTGGAGGAGAATGCCAGCCCTACGTGCAGCAGCGGTCAAAAAAGGCTCAGAGACCAGCGGGAAAGGGATCAGAAACACGACAGAAAATATAATGTCGCTGTATGAATCCGTGGGCCGCCCACATCGTGCGGACTGGGTCCAGTTCTGGTCGCCCCGTCTCAGAAAGGGCCCAGTGGAAGTGGAAAAGGCTCAGAGAAGGGCAGCAAAGGTGACAGAGGGGCTGGCGTCCAAACAAGGAGAGACTAAAAAGATCAGGGCTGTTTAGCTTCAAAAAGTGATGACTTGGGGGTGGGGGGTAGGAGAGAGGTGTAGATGGGTGTGGAAAAAGCGAATAGAGAATTCTTCACACAATGCACAATTAACCTGTGGAACTCACTGCTGGGGGATGTCGCGATGGCCAGAAGGATAGCGGGGTTCAAAAAGGAACTGGAGAAGTTCCTGGAGGATAAATCCATCCATGGCTGTCAGCCAAGATGCTCAAGGAAGCCATCCCATGCTCCGGATGACAGTAAATCTCTGACGGGCAGAAGCCGGGCGTGGATCTCTCCAGAATTGCCCTGTTCTGTACTCTTCCCTTGAAGCTCTGGCACGAGTCACTGTCGGGGATGGGAAGCTGGGCTAGACGGATCATGATGTGACTCACCACGGCCACGCTTAGGTTCTTAACGCCTTGTTTGCAACTGGAATTTGTCTGGCTTTATCTCCCAGGCGTTGGATCTCACTCTGACTTTCTCCTCTAGATTAAAGACCGGTTGGCACCAGGGATTTCCCCACGCAGGTGCTTAGATGGCGCTATCCACTCACCTTGCGCCCGATCTCCCAAACAAAACAGCCTGCGCTCCTTCCATCTCCCCATTCAGGCATCTTCTCCAGCCCTAGGACTGTTTCTGTGACTCTTAATCATAGACTACCAGGGACCTCAGGCGGTATCTAGTCCCACCCCCTGCTCAAGGCAGGGCCAATCCCCAGACAGATTTTTGCCCCAGATCCCTGGATGGCCCCCTCAAGGATTGAACACACAACACTGTGTTTAGCAGCCAACGCTCAAACCACTGAGCTATCTCTTCTCAGCAGCCTCTCCAGGTCCTTTGGAGAAGGGGGGCAGAGAGTCCTGGCGTCTGGCCGTGGGGTGGATGGGGCAGATGTCGACTGGCCAGCCATCCGCCACATGGCTCTACAGGCATGGGAGAAGGAGGGGCTTGGACCGCTGGTGTTGATTTTCAACATGTCCTGGAGCCCAGCCATCTGGGGAAGGCCCAGAAGACAGCTAATGTCTGGCCAGTGTTTAAAAGGGGTGAATGGGACGACACGGGTAATTACAGGCCCGTTCTCCGGACACGCAGCAAGATAATGGAACGGCCGGCACGGGACTTGGTTAATAAAGAACGAACGGAGGGTGATGTAATTAATGCCAATCAACATGGAAGGACTGGGGCAGGGCCTGTCTCTCGCTGTGTGTCTGGGCAGCACCTGGCACGACGGGGCCCTGATCCCAGCTGGGGCAGGGCCTGTCTCTCGCCGT